TAGCGATTGACTGAATGGTCATCTCCTCGTTACTTGTTGCTTAGCGCCAAAACCTCATACTACTGCTTTTACCTTCTGTAGGCATTAGAGACATCCTTTGCATTTCTCTCTAGCTTGCGATAAACTTTATGACTTCTTTCTAGAATCACGACCTTCCCTTTTAAGTACTTGTTCACTCCTGGCGCCTAACTTAACACTTCCTTATCTTTGCTTGAATGTTATGTTCTCGTACTATCCCTTCTACCACTCTTGTACCCTAGCTGAAATTCATCGTACGGTTTCCCCGTCCAATAAATTTTTATCTGAGAGATCGGCACCTTTCACCCGCATTGGCGATCTTGGCTTCACTTTGGGGTACCCTATCAGATTCCCTAAACTCATATCCATATTACTTCTTTACTCGTGACTCTTCTCCTTGATGTTACTCATTAGTTCTAGATGTCCCTTGTTCTCGATGTAGTCATCTAGGTTCTTATAGTCTCTTCTCACTTATGTACCATGATAGATAAGGTTCTCCCTTTGACTATTCATGACGATCATGATTCCACCTTAAAAATTGGCTGAAATATCTTCATGGACTTCCTATGGATCGGTTGTTCTCTACTTGGTGGTCAACCTAAAGCTTTCTTGTTGTCTGTTGTAATCCTGCTTCCGCCCGTCTTAACTATCTTCCTTGACGCATACATCGCCAAGTTGATGCCAACCATTTTTTCTATAACTACCCACGGTGTTCTTCTTGCTTCTTTACTTTTACTACCAACAACCTACAACTCTTATGTTGTTGCTTGTACTATATTTGGTCACCAACCTCTGTTGAGTATCTTCTCGTTGTTGTTTTAGGTCACCACTTCCAATGGTGGCTTGCCCTTAGTAACCTTTAACATAACTCATTCCATGTCTCTTTTGTTGATCGATCTTGTGCCTAAACTTAGTCTCTTAGTTAGGATTCTTAGTGGCTTAACTAAGCGTGCTAGTTTCATCCTTAACTAGTTGTCTCCTCTAGAGCCCTCCTACCATGCTGCGCCCACTCGGAGTGCGGCACCTTGGATAAGGTAACTTCTCTTTTTCCTCCATCTCGGTAATGCTTTCCCTCATCGTACCTCTTTGTGCAGCTTCTTGACCTCGAGTCACCTGAGACTTGACCCATTGACTTTTTGAAATCTCGTCAAACTCCCTCTGGCCTTTTTGCTCTTCCTTGGTATTGTTCGCAAACTCTCTTCATTACGATCGTTTAGGCTCTTCCTCGAATTCTCCTATAGCTACTTTCGAGACTCTAGCTCTTAGCCCCCTAGTTCCAACTTATTAGTGAGGTTCCTCCTTCTGTCACCCCTCATGTACCCTAGGTGGCTAGGTGCTCCCTCCATTTAGGATAGGACTATTCCATAACAGATCAACGTGAACTCTTACATTCCCCTTCCAATGGTCCCAACATCCTCATGACCTTTTGTAATCTGGGTAGTTTGTAGGGTCTCTACTATCCTCCTTCTAACTCGATGTTATCTTGGTATTCAACTCACGCACTTCTGAGAAGTGGTTCTCTATTCGTACTGCCATCTACTAGCTAATTGTTATTCTCTCTCACATTCCATGTCTTTTCTTATGTATTGACTCCCCATTGTCTTCTACCAGGCATGCTTTAGAATTTAGTGGCACTTTCCTCCACGTCTCGTCCAATGGTGGTTGTACTGAGACCATACTTGTCATCTACACCATTTACATTGTTGCTTGTCTTGTACCTTCTTAAGGTTTGTCATCGGCCTAACTCCTCAGGGTTGTGTACTCTCTTCTCTAGTGACGCAGTTTATCTATAAGGTTTCCTTTATCGTTATATGGATATGACCATGCCTCCTCTCCCCCTTGACCTGTTGACTTCTTGACGTCCTTTCATACTCCTTATAACCTACTTATTTCCTCCTTCGCTTCCTTTATACTACCCTAGCATTTCTTAAAGTCTAAGCATTCCTCTACTCCTTGTCACTGTGTGGTAATGGCGTTGAGCCATCGACCACAAAAACTAGCTGAGGGACTTCTCGGGGTACCTCTTCGTTTCTTGCCCCGTTGCCCACTTTCCACTGCTTAGGACCAAAGACCCTAACATCATCCTAGTATCATAGCTAGTGGCATCTGGTGATTGTTCTTCTTCCTTTGGAGATTCATGTTTCTCCCCTTTGTTTGTCTTAGCTTATTAGATCATCCACTTGTTCCCTAGTAGTAAAATCCTCGTACTACTCTCTCAACTCCTTCAAAATCCTTGAGGTATTCCCTTTCAATTGGCACCTCTTTGCTGGTGTTTGGAGTTGAAGTCCTAGCACATTTGATTTTATCTTGAGAGCCTTTGAGATTCTACTTGGGTTGGTCACGTTTCTTTCATCCTTTCTTTCTTACTGATGATCGCCATACGCATCAATCTCTTATTTGACGTCCCACGACGAGTTAAGTTAACTCGCGTCATAGCATATTCTTAAACCAGTTGCACCCTCGTGCTACCTTCTCATAGTGTCGTGCTGTAATATTTATTCACCTTATTATGATTAGAGTAGACTGGAGATTCTATAAACTCCTAAAAGAAGATCATTGACTCATTTTTTTCTTTCCTTTAAAAACAAAAACCTTGAAAAATGAGACCGATATTCCAGTATTCCTTGGAAACCAAGGAACAGAGGAAGACCGGCTCTGATACCAAAAATGTAACACCCTAACCCGGCCGGGTACTACTTTTACTAAAATGGCCTTGATAAAATAAAATACTCAAGTCTTGAATTGCAACTGGGAAAAATTTTCATAAATAAAATACTGAAAACACACACTTGTAGTTCAAAGCAAAGCCTTAACATGTGGGCAAATTAAACTCAAACTTTAAAAACTCAACTTGATCTCCAGTCTATACTCATAATCATTGAACATAATAACTAACTAGCCTCAGGTGTTGCTGCTTGTGTGAAAAACTCTGACTAGACATACTCTGTGACGCTCGTACCGTCCTCCTCTAGCTAGCTTCACTCGAACTGTTCCTCTCGATCCCGCTGCTCTCTAACTGCTCCTCTAACTCTTCAAACTGGTGAGTGAGATGGGGCCAGTCTACGCCCTTACGTTTTAGATTCTTACTGCTTAGCACTTAACTTAAAACACTTAACTTTGACTATTGGAAGTTGTTTGTACTTCCAATCTTAAAAATCTTAACTCTTAAACTTTGAGGGAGTTGAAGTTACTCTCCTCTTTTAAAGCTCAAATCTTGACTTAAATACTTGACTGACACGGGGATCCCTCACTAGCTAGTCCGGTTGCCAACTCATACGTATGAGAAGCCATCAAGGCTTTCCTTAAACTTAAACTTAGTTAGGGAAGTCGTAACGATTCATCCCCCTAACATCTTAAACTTATCGTGGTGGCTCTTCACCACGATTCTCAAGAGCATAACTGCTGCTCAACTTAAATATCTCAAGAGCATAACTGCTGCACTGTCTCAAAGATCTCCAGAGCATAACTGCTGCTCTATCTGAAAATCTTAAATGGCAACGGACTGGCGCTAGCGACTAAAAACACTTAAAACGACTTCACCTTCGTGAAGGTGAATTACTTCTTAAAAAGAACTTGTTCTTAAACTTTAACACTAACTCATAGACATCAAGCTTCAAGTAAGAAATAACAATTCACTTCAAATCATAGCTCAACCATCGCACATATCATCAAACATAATCATGCAATATCAAACATGAATCAAATACTGCACGCACATCACATAAATCAATACTTAAAAATACTCAAAGAAAATACTTGAAAAACCGTAAGGCGTAGAATTTACCCCCTTTACACTCACCTTATTGATTAGGTCGACTTGGCTTGAGCTAACCACCCTCCTATGACGGTTGCTTACAATTTTCAAAAATCCACAGGGTTCTAATCTCTGTCCCTCCTGCTTGCTTAACCGCTCACGGCCCGCCTCCTGACTGCTTAAGCAGATAGCTGACGTAGTGGAGAGGCATCCGAATCACATCCCATTTACACACCGAAACGGTCCTGCTTGCTTCACTAATGGCCCTGCCTGCTTAAGCAGGTAGCTGACGTAGTAGAGAGGCATCGATTATGCGACACGCAATTACCGCCCCGTCCGATAATGGTCTCTGTTTGCCTAAGATAATGGTCCTGCTTGCTCCGCCCCGTCCGATAATGGTCCTGTTTTCCTAAGATAATGGTCCTGCTTGCTTAAGCTAGCACCTCTCGTAGCAGAGAGCGTACATATCGCCGGCTGTATCTTTTCCGCCTTCGATAAATAAGCAGGCTGCTCTCGCAGTAGCGGGGCAGCCCGACACCTCCCTTCCGCTGCGAGCACTCGTAGTGGAGAGCGAGCACTTTCAAAGGGCCGGCCTCCTTGGACGCGTAGGGTTGGCGGCGGTATTTTGCGAAAGGACGGGCGCGGGGAGAGAGGGTTTTGGGCGGGCGGTGGCGATGAGCTGGGGGGTTTATTTCTTCAGCTAGGGAATTATAGAAGGGGGGAGGACGGGTTTGGTAATTTTATGAAGGGTCGCTCGGTCCAAGTCGGGTTTGGGTAATATTTTTTTTAATAATAAAATAATAATACTCATTATTATTATTACTACTAACCCGCGATTGCAACCTTAGTACGCAACTGTCAACCCAACCGATCACGTATTATGGTCGAACCATAACGCAAAATTCGGGGTGTTACATCAATTCAATCATTCACAAACGGGGTTCATACAACCATTCCTAGCATACAAAACTAGGGTGCTTCATACCCAGATGAAAGGGGAGTTTACTCCATGGAGAGAAGTGGAAACATCGTGCAAGAAGGACTAATCATCGGGTAGACAATGAAATTCTGCTTCCAGCGGCAAATCGGTACTCTAAGGATGAGGAATCGAGCTCCGAAGTCTTCATATTGCTCCAATATGTGCCCAAGGGATGTCCTTTGTCACTCTCTCTCTCTAGGGTTCTCTTTCTTTCTTTTAGAACTCAAAATTCCGGATCCTTAGCAATTCTCCCAAGCTGTTGTTTTATACGCTGAAGAATTGCGAGTTACGGCCCGAGTTACGACTATAACTCGCTCTCTTTGCCCGTAACTCCTCCTTAAAACGTTGTCGTCGCGACGCTCCATAAACCAAGAGTTACGACATCGTTGGAGAAGTTACGATCGCAACCGTAACTTGGAATGGAAGCCCGTAACTCTAAAGCAGCTCCTGGATCTTGGTGCCATCGCTTCGCAAGAGTTACGGGTACAAGGGTTGAGTTACGGTCCAAACCGTAACTGAGAAGGTCGGCGCGTGATTTGAAAGAACCGCTGAAACCTTGTGCCTTCTCCTCTGAGAAGTTACGGGCACTTGGGACAAGTTTTGGTTGCAACCATAACTCCCAAGTCTAGCTCGTAACTCTTCCTAGATTTCTGCCCCAAATCTTCTCAAAACTCGTTATTTTGCCTCCGATCACGTACTAGGACCTGAAACATCATAAACCAACACAACCTAGCGTAAAATGGGCCACGATAACGAGAATGCAAGCTCAAATGATCAAGAAATTATGGAAAATCATGTTCAAATATAGTGTTATCAACCCCACGCATGCTGTTGCGCACCTCTTTGTTCATACCAGTCTTGAGCCAACCTTTGACCATCGCAACGATCCCAAGCGTCGGCGCGCACCCCTGTACCAGCCGCGGAACGCGCCAAGGAGCTATCAACGAAAGCCATCTTGTTCTTGGAAATCAAGGTCTTTGTCATATCGTTGATCCATTCACCGTAATTGAGATCAGTCAGAAGATCACTCCAAAACAGCTGTGCGAGATTCTCATAAGGGTGTAAGTACAGAGGAGAAGTAAGCAGAATAGCTGAGTCGGCGTTGGTGACAATGTCACTGGTGCTGCTCATGGTAGATTCCCCTGTCGCCATGATTATAGTAGATCGGTTGTTCACAGCTCTGATACAATGTAAAATATAGGAATTGCAGAAGTAAAGAAGACAGAGATTTACGTGGTATCCATAATAAACGGGACTAATCCATGGAGAGAAGAGCTCTCATATAGGGTTTCACTATGATTGGCCGAATAGAAATCAGCCTCATTAGGTTACAATGGCTGCCGAGATTCACCTTTTATAATACCCCTCAACATATTAACCTAGGGTAATTAGGGAATCTCTAACAAAATTACCAAAAGGTATCAGAAGAATAAAAAAAACTACTAGTTTTACACATCAACAATACTGCTTCGACGATTCGAGGTTTACTTTGCTCGGATTGGAGTTGATAGTGTTATATCGATCGAGCTTACAAATCATTAAAGCTTATGCTAGGTGACAGCTTCGGTTCATATCCTCAATGTCAGCTTCTAGTCGTGCACATCTATTAGAGCTCTTGTAGTTTCCAAGAAAGGTCTACATAGCAATAAAGTAGAATCATGATCATCAACATCCATTATGATAAAATCTGCAAGGAAGTCAAAGGAACCAAAATTAACTAAAACTCCTTTAGGGTGTCTAGAGGCTTTATCTGCCAATTGACTGGTCATTATAGTAGGAGCAAGGGTTTCTTGGTCTTAAGTTTCTGACAACCCAAATATCACAATAAAATTCCACCTAAGGTCCAAGTATAAACCTTAAATGGGTGCAATATAGGGCAGGTATGTTTAAATATCAACATGGGCCAGCCCATGTACCCCTACTTCAATTGTTTGAAACATTATCTAGTGGAATATTGTTTGTTAAATCTCTACAATCCACTATCTAAAAGCAAGACTTGAAAAGTAAAAGGTGTGAAACTTTTGGTGAGAAGCTTCACTCGGGAGTTGCTTCCCCCTAACTAACTACCATGAATCGCGGGATCGAATGAAATGGTGTGTGACAAGGCAATTGTGACCCGTAGGAGGTGCAACAATGGTTATAAACCATCCTCTCAATTGATAGGCCAAGGAAAGCATTATAGGCTACAATTGTAGCCCTCTTGGTCCAAGCAATTGAGGGTTGACTTACCTTCTCCCTCAAACCAAGGTTTGGACGGCATAATCACAGTTAACATAGGTGTCTAATTCAAGTTTAGAGATTTTCCCTTCATTAACCAAGTTACGAGGCATGGAATGCCTAAGAAAACCCAGCTCAATTTGAGCAACTTAAGATAAGGGGGATTCTCTCTAAGTTAGCCTAGAATAGCACAATAGATTGCCAAGCACACACAATGCACAATCACCATGAAAAATACCTCAATTCTTAGATTAAACACCACCATCACAAAATCATTCAATCCACACAATCAATTACATTGTAGAAGTTAGGATTCTACAATACTCAAGTGAAAAGGGAAACTACTCCATGCCAGACAAAGGAAGAACACAAAGGAAGAAGAAAAAAACCATCATTGTGATACCTCCAACTCTCCTTGTGCTTGTAGAGATCCTCCTTTGAAGAGGAACTTCGAAAATCGTCACTTGGAGCAAACCCTAGTCTCTTCCCCCTCTTGGTTTGTGACTTTCTCTCTCTAGGGTTTCAAGAAGAAGAAGCTTTCCCTCACTTTGGGACCCCAATTCTTCTTCCTTTCAGCTCTCTATTTATACACAGATCGATCCCAGTTCATCGTCCCAATTCACGGCTCTGAACATCAGGCACGGACCATGAACACAGATCAAAATGCGTCGCTTCACTTAAGGAGTTCACGGTCTATGGCTCTAGTTCACGGTCTTAGCGACCGTGAACTGCCTCATATTCAGTAACCTCTGAAACCCCTATGGACGCTCTGCGGTTCACGGTTTCTGGTTCCATTGCACGGTCCTGGAGACCGTGAACTCCAAGCTCTGATTGTGAACTGTGGCTAAATCCTCCTCTTTGCCCGGTCTTTGCTCCTTTTCTTCCAAATTTCGACTCCGCTGTTGGTTTCACCTGTTAGACTCTGAAACACATTGAAACACAAGAAGCCTAGCATAAAACCACCCTTTTAGGAGCTCAAATGCCACAAACTCCAAAGAGAAACGGGGATAAAAAGTGTACATTTAGGCCCCAATCACTCCCCTACACTTAGACGTTTGCTTGTCCCAAAGCAAACCATTTCACACAAGGTAATATCTCAACCTAACAAAATACATTGGGGACAACTCAAAGGGCACAAAGTGGCGAATCTCAATGGCTATTGGCAATTAACACATGGACTGTTGCAAGCAATAACGACATCCACCACAAACGACATTCAATGTCACCAAAAACAGGCAAATGTAAAGTTCTCACCTTGTTCATGAACCAGTGCAAGTCTCGACAAGATCACTTATCAACCACAACTAACCATGCATAGAGTTCAAGTCCAAGGAGCAAACGAATGGGCAACAAAGGTCCTCACCGGGGTATGATATGACATGCAAAGCAAGAATGAATCACTCACTCTCTTGACCAGTGGGGTCGGGACCATTTGGTGCAAAGAATGTGCACAATCATCAACACTCGGCCCTATCGTCTGTTCACCACGGCGGCAACCTCTAAATGCTAGAGTTCATGAGACGGTTGTCATCACTAGCTTGTCTGAAGGTCTTAGACACGGGTTCAAATGACTGGAAATTGTCTTGGACATGGGGAAAATGCCTTTTGGGTGGTGGCAAACACAACTTGAGGTCCTACATCTTCACCCTAAACCCGAAAGTTCTATGGTTTCAACTAAGAACCTTCCCTACAAACAATGGCCACTTGCATCGGCCAAAAAACTTACTTCTCCCTTCCATTCTATCACCCATTATGAACTACATGCAAGTACACTTCCTCGGTCTATTCTTTCTAACTCATTTCAAACATAGTAGTTGACTCGCCTGTACTGTCACACTAGAAAGTGGCCAAGTGTAACCACCTACTAATGCGCAGTATAGCGGGTTTAGAGTTAAATGTCAACCTGGGTCCTAGGTGTGATGACTACTCCGTGAAATTCTTATTATTTAGCAGTTCAACTGTAGTGAATTTCCAACTAAACTAGCAAACAAAAGTAGTAAAGGTTGTGTTCCAAGTTTGAGAGAGGTCACCCAGATATGGTTCCCCCTAGACTGTAGTTAAGCCAAGTTGTAATTTACCAAGTCCAGATTCAATGATAATTATATTGAGGAAGGTTCTTAGACAGTCTGAAGTCTCGACTAAAGGTCTCCAGACCCTCTCAATCTGAATCCCCGGCGGGCGACTAACCTCCACCGGAGTAAACAAACTAAGGCCCTAACGTACCAAACCCCCTCTACTGGATTAAATCCAGTACAGAACAGTGAATTGAATCCTCGACTAAAGTCGTCAATTCACTATCATCAATTAAGGGTGCTCTATCAACCTAGGCAGATATTCTCTTTCTAGGTCAAAGCAGGAACTACATGAATTTGATCAGGATTCATGCAATTCAGAAAACCATGCCTCAATTGAATATAAACGATATCAAAGAACATGTACTTGGGTTCATACAACCAAACCTAACATACAAATCTAGGGTTCTTCATACCTAGGTGAGTGAGAGAGTTACTCCATAGAGAGAGAAGATAAATCAGCTTCAGATGCGGAAATCATTCTGTGAAGGATGATAAGCAGCTTCTGGTAATCAATCGGCACTTCTCCAAGCTTCAATCGAGCTCCAACAATGTTCAAGATCGATTTAGGGCGCTTGGAAGTTCTGTTCATCGCTCTCTTTCTAGGTTTCTGCCTTTCTTTCTCTCAAAATCGATCCCCTCCAAAGAGGCTTTCTTTCCTTGAAAAAAGGCAGATCGCGATACTCGGCCTTAATATCCGGTGGGGTATTTCAGGTGACTAGACGGGTATTTTAAAATGCTGCACATGGGAAAGGGGTTAATACCCGATCGGGTATTTAAGCCTCCTAGCCGGGACCCCTTCTGCTTCTTTGGCCTCCAAAATGCCTTTTACCCGGTCGCCTCCTTCTCATATACCCGGTCGGGTATTTTAGTGCCTGACCGAGTATTTTTGCCTGACAGCTCCTCTAGCTCCAACTTTCCACTTTTCGACCCAAAACTCATTTCCATGCCTCCATATCCACGCCAAGTCGGGAAATATGACATAAACGAACAACCTAGCGTGAAATCGGCCTAAAACACGAGAATCGACTCTCAAACTGTTCAAGAATGGTGGTCAAAACATGTGCAAATAATAGTCTATCAGTAATGAAGGAGTTCAACAACAATGTGGGTGTTTTAATGGCTTGAGTGCCAAGAAACCTCCTAGAGCATACACTTTAATTTTTGGTGGCAACTGTCTACTTTATTTACCCCATTTTATTAACTCTTTTTCAATTCTTTTTCTTTCTACTTTCCTTTTATTTATTTTTCTCTTTTATTTTCTTTTGTGGGGGGTACTAGAGTGTAAAACACTTGCCACATTACATTTAACAACCAATGCTCTCTTTTAAGACCTTACACCAACACTACTCTTTCTCTTTCATTCCTAGCAAGAACCGCACAAAATCCTCCTATGTAGAACCTAAATGGAGCTCCTAAGAACGAGCTCCGGAACACAAGGATGACTCACGTATAGACATGAAGAAAGGATGGAGGGGCGTTCTATCAAACACCATTAATCTCACAAGCGAAAAGCTCCTAACATGAGAACGATTCCCACAGTCACAAGGCTCAAAGGGGTTGACTAGTGGATAAACATTTCGGGACAATCAACATTTGGGCATGGACTAATCCTATGCCTCCATCATACTCACTAGTGACAACTATGATGTTACTCGTCATGATAAGAGGGATCTAAGCACACAAGAAGAAAATGATCGGCTCAAAACTCACATGGCTACCTAGTCACCCAACCATCTATTCCAATTCACAAAACACAATGCATGGCAATTGTAATCAACAAGTAATCGAGTCAAGACATCCATTCATTTTTTCACACATGAGAACTAAACCTTTGCACTATCCTAATGCACCACTCAATCATCATCATAGGACACACTCGATCACATGCAACAATTCAAGGTCAATGCCAATAAACACAAGATTCTCCCACAAACCGACCACTTTGATCATGCAAACATTGCTTGGAGCCCTCAAATTTGGGTATACATCAATGGTCCAAGCATTAATCACACTCACACAAACATAATAATAAAC